CCCCAAAACCCCCAAAACCCCAAAACCCCAAAACCCCTAGGCTAACAACCGACATTGAAACTAGTAACCTCCCACCATAGAACTTTAGGCCACTTGGTCCTCAGGTCAGAAGCAATAAGTCAAAGTTTTGTTGGCCGTATCTAGCAGTGTTCATTGAAGAAGTTTGATCAATGGATTTGAATTGCATGTTTGAGGACTCAATGCTATGCTCTGAAAGAGTATTATGTGGTTGGGGTAGTATATTAGGGTATGTAGGTTACAAAAGAAAGCCCTTAGAGGCATCCCTTAAACTTCTAGCTTTCACATAAATGTCCATATTCCTTATCTTCTAATTTCCATCTCCCACCACAACTCCACCTTCTAAAACCTTGATTTAATCTCCCAAGTTTCAACCTTCCCCCTCCAATCCCCCTAAACCCCCATAAATCCCCCTATCCTCCCCATCACCTCTCCAAAACCCCTACACCCCCTAAATTCCTTCCCTCCCATCTACCCCTAAAATCTCCTCCTCTGAAACCCAACTACCCTCTATCACTCCTTCCCTACTATCAAATCTACCTTCCTAGCGATCTTCCAGATCCATGACTCATACTAAAACAGGCAAGAAATGGCACCACCACTGTGCTTATGAAGAAGTACAATTTTTTAGTGGAAGAGTGAGGATTTTTAGGAGTAAATTTTTGGTCTGGGAATGGAAAGAGGAAAGGATCTGGGAAGGAGATTTTTGGGGGAGAAATGGAGGTGGAAGGGAGAGAGTTGAGGTTAGAGAGGAAGGGAGGTTGGAGGTATAGGGGGGGTGGGGTTATTTAAGTAGTTTTAACTGGTTTTATTAGGAAAGTAAATGGTTTTAATAACGGCTGGTTGATCTGCTGGTTGAGAATGGAGCATGTGGGGTTGGAGTATTTTATCTTTCTCAAATTTGAAAATAGAGGATTATTAACTGATTTTACAAGAGAGCTCTTTTAACTCTAGTGTAATTGTGGTTGTCTTGGTTATCAAAATAGTCTTACCTCATAATCTTATGTCTGGTTCATAATTTCTTTGATGTACTAAGCTTTCCAATTAAATTCTCTATCAGAGATTAAAAAAGAGCGATTGGACAGAAAGTAAAATCAGAAGCTTGAGTTGTTTAACAAATTGTCTTGTTAATATATGGGTGGTAACTCTCCAACATTTGAGTCCGTAAATTAGCTGGTAATTATATGACCCTGGCGGACATTTTCTGACGAGATACTTTTCAAACCTCCAGTCCAGGAGTCTTCTTCCTGTTGTTTATCTGATCAATTCTGGCAACTTTTTGGTGAGTTTTCTGTTTTCTTGAAGAAATTTATTGTAAAAAATGGTAAAACCCATCCATAACAAATATATAATATTTTTCAAAGCTTCTTTTCTAGTTCAGGCTAAGATAAGCCTGGCTAGATTTCTAGCAAAGAATTTTAATCAGGCTAATCCAAACTTGAGTTACAGAGGAAGATTTTGAAAAAGCTACATTTTCCAGGAAACCATTACTTGTATTGGTGGCCTAAGGCAATAAATAACAATGATAACTTAAATTACAAAATGGAGGGTAATAAGATTAGCTACTTTGACGAATCCAGGATCCTTGGAGAGTGCTGAATTGTTGGTGCTACCTCAGAGAAAGAATTTGAGACTGAAATACTGGTTTTCAATAAGAATATCAGATTAATTTGACCCAGTGGGGATTTCGTAGTATAGTGATGAAGAAAAGAGAATAAAATATTTATGAAGACAGTGAGGGTCTTAGAATAAGCACTGATGAGCTAATAGACACCCTGAAACAGGAACTGAGAGAGGACAGAAATGGTTTCGATGTTTCTCAAATTCTTCCTTTGAAAGCCTCAAAACTAGCCTTTTTCAATACCAAATTACCATTGAAATTATTTTAAAACTTTTTCCTCAATCAAAACTAGAGTGAAATTCGGTTCAAGCTCAACTTCCAAAGTCCTGAATTCTAAAAATCTTATTATCAAATTGCAACTTGAAACAATAATAATTAGATATTAAATAATCCCTTTTGGAAAAAGTGAGACCTGGTCATAATGATCTGTTTATTAAAGGAGCCAGCTGTTGGGGTTTTCTTTGATGATGCCAGATTGCTCATCATTGACACCATCTCAGAAAGAGTTTTGATTACAAGAGGCTTCAATAGCTCAAGAGTATCAAGATAGAATATTAAAATCTTAGGAAAGTAAAGAAGGAAGTGAGTGAAGTTATAAAAAGCAAAATAAATTGTAAAGGCTAGTTCAATCGAAGTATCCATGTCTCATGATCTGAAGAACTACCGTGAAGATCAGGCCCCTAGTGGAGGATCCTTTTCTGCTTCAATTATAAGAAGGGTGATGAAGAAAGAGCTCAGTTTCTCCTTCAGAAATTTAACAAAATCTGCGCTACAACTGGAGCTCAGGAGAATTTCAGAAAATGGCTGAGACCATCAATCTTCAGATTCATCTATCAAAATTGAGAAGTCAATGATTTATATTAGCAAGTTAGAGTTCTCAGTCAGGCTCGCTCATAACTGTTCTCGGACTCAGAAAGGCTTCCCAGACTATGTTCTCTTATCCCTCTTGTTATCTAAGCTTCTTTTAAATATTCATATCAAAGGAGAGGGTGCAAGGAGCCACAGCTAATCGAATCAGGAACAACTGGATGAGATCTGAGTACTTTTTAAACAGCTTAGAAAGCTTAGGCATGAAGAACATGCCTTCCTATGGATATCTGTAGTATTCTTATATGTAAGAAGGCCAATAAATTTGTTAAGAAGCCAACAGTTTCCATCTATATGATATCCCCATACTCTGATTTTATAAATGCCTGTAAGAAGCTAATTTCTAGTATTGAAATTGAAAGTAAGGGAGTAGCATAGTCAAGAAAAACTACAACCATTAGAAACACTCATAAGATTTATAACTGAAATTCCCGAGATGAGTTATGTAGCTGAACAAAATTGAGCTTTATACATGAATTCTATAACCCAAGTTAAGATCTTTAGAGTTTAAGGAGAATATTTTTAATAATCTCCTCACTCTTTAAAAATATCTGAACTTGAGTCATAGAACTCATGTATAGGTATGCTATCCATTGAATTTCTAAAAGCACTAGACGCTTTTAGAGGAAATTTACTACAATTTTCAAGCAAAAATATCCTAAAATCCTTATTTTTTTATTCTAAAAGGTCAAATGTCATGAGTTCTCTAGAACTTAATATGATCATTACCAAATCTCAGATAGGCTCATCATACCATCAAGGAGGATGCCAGGCTTTCAGAGTCTTTGAAAAGAGATTAGGTGATAGTCTTTATCCATGTTTGATATGCTCCGAACTTCTAAATATGCTCTTGAACTCTCATTCTATGATTCAATTTTGCTTGCTTTTGGTGGGGTTTTGGGGTTTTGGGGTTTTGGGG